GGTAAAGATCATAGAAATTGGTGGATTTGGTGATTGGTGGTGCAGTGTGCAGTCCAGTCAGTTGTGTGTGTGGTGTGTGAACAACTTTATTTATATAGGTGTGTTTGTATATTAATTTCTTTCTCTGTGACTGTTTTAATTTCCTTGAAGCTGAAATAGTCAACGGATATCTCTCAAATGCCTTCCACTGAAGATTTTTGACTCGAAATATTGAGTAATTTTACTTCAGAATGTACTTACGGCACTGCCCTGTGGGGGAACAGACTAGCTCTCCTCTTGTCAACTTATCATAAAATTCCATCGCACTTTATTTCATTCAATTTAACAGAGCAAGTTATGGAATGATTCACTTTTTCTCGAAGTTCATCGCTATGATAAAGCTGCTGCTTAGCACATCTTGTCTGGAAAAAGTGGTTGATTGTGTATGGGAACCTTTCCGACCAAACACCACATACGCGTATACTTATGCTGTTTGCTGGGAAATTGGTGATAAAGATTACTCATACCTAAGATAAGGCACTACTTGCACTTTATATTGATAGCTGCAAAAGATTGGCAGATAGGATTTTTTGGTGTTCAAAGGTTGACCTACCAGTGCACCTCTGAGCAAGCAGCATACTGATGGTGTAACTGCAGAAATGCATATATTGGTTATTGGCATCGAGACTTCCTGTCACACTTTATTTTGTACATGAAAAACCACTGAACATTGTTTGTTTATAACTTTTGTGATTTTTCTTCTCTATATTAAAAATCTCCTGTGAAAATTTCTAACCACGATGTTGGTTTGGTCCTCTTTTCAAAATAAAGTAGGAGCATAGATTTTGAAACACTGTAATTTCATACTTCCGTCTTGGATTGACTTTAGTCCACATGGATATAATTGATAGAAAAAACACATTTTTGGTTTAGCAAGGATATCACACTGGAACCTGAGTGTGGATGAAAACATTATTTACGATTTTCGGGAACCTGCTTGTTTTGCCGTACGCTGTTTGGTCGGAAAAGTCCTCATATACCTTCCGATACTGAAAAAGTCAGATTCATCATGTCTTATCATGCACTTATAGCCTCAGTAATTTTATTGCCTTGGTTTGTTAACTTCCTAAAATACTTGGAAATTTTATCGTCTTGCATTTGGAGTATTGCAGATACATTGTACTCATTAAGTGAATGAACTTTCACTCAAGTCGCAGATGTTTTCAAACCTGATATCATGGCAATCAGCATGAGCTCAACTTCATGCATTTGAATTGGAACTGTTGAAAATAGCCTGTGGAAATGTCTGAAGCGTGTGGCGCTCTTGAGTTTCTAATTTTAACAGGAAAACTATCAGCTGAAAGAAATTGCCCAATTCAAATGGAGTTCTTTTATGCTGACCCAGAGGTTGCCTCTCCTGATTTTTTCAAGTGCCTAACAGTGATCAAGCTTCCATGTAAAGCCCGTATCAGACAATCAAACTAGAGGCTTCAAAGAGGTTCATCGATGCCTTTCCTGGCCCTCTCATCGGCCACCGGTTTAAGTCTGGGCAATCGATGAGCCTCTTTGAAGCCTCTACTTTGATCGTCTGATACGGGCTTAATATTCCAAGTTACCTCCTGTTGCAATAATCCTGAAAGAAGTAGATTGTGGGTGCCTCTTTAATGATATTCATCTGAAAGTGCCCCCTTCCTTGCATCATTTGTTGCATGAGTAATGAATTTCTTGTTTTGAATTTATGAAAATGAAGGTCATGAGCTCATATCGTCACCTTCCAGGCAAAGTATCACAAGCGCCATGTGACGTTTAAAAATTTCCGCCGCCATTTTATTTATTTACTGAGAAATTGTTGGTTGAATCTGTTTGGAAATTTCACTAAATTTTATTGGCAGCACAAAGAAAATTCAGCGAAATTTTTGGACAGCTTCGTTGAACAATTTCTCTGTAAAAAAATATAATGGCGGTGGAAATTTTTAAACGTCGCATGGCGCTTGTGATACTTTTCCTGGAAGGTGACGATATATTTCTTCACACCTTGTGCAAGTGGCATGAGCCAGGGTTTGAGTTCTCTAGCTTTTTCTGCATATCTGACATTGCAATGATGTGACTGTAGAATTAAATTTGTTTCTATGGTCAAAGTATCTACCCATCAACTGCAATCTGTCAGGCGGCCACTTCTGAGCTTCTGTGTTTGATAAAGCCTCAGGTAGTATTTTCAAGTTCAGGTAGTACCCCTTGCTGCGCTGTCTTCTATGGCATCTCATCTTCCAATCTCGTATGTGCCTTAAACATTCATCTTTTTTTACAACTCCTCATGTTGATATTCCATTCTATCCAGGGATGCCCAGTTGTGATTAGTCATTTTTTAAGAAGTGAAATCTAATTTTATGAAGTTTTTATTTTTCAGGGAACTGCCTGTTTTTACCTCGATTGCTGATGACTTGAAATTTTCAACTATTTTAACTATTTTTAATGATGACAACACTTTTGAAGATGAATCTACTATTTTAGTTTTATGTATTTTTGACCACTGAAAGATGGATAGTCACAAAACAAGAAACAAAGCCTCAAGGAGAAGAGGTGGCAAGAAAAAATTTGAAAACAAAGCAGTGACAAAAACTCCCTCAAAGAAGGAAGAAGCAAAAAAATTTTCGCCTCTAGCAGCGCAGAGACTAAATGAATTGACGAACTTGTTTAGTAAAGTTGGCAGTAATAATGTCTATGGAGTGGTGGTTCTCATTAGATGGAACAGCTTTCAAACTATTCCTATCAGATCGCAAGATGCCCTGTACAACAACAAATATGAATGTTCGCTGGATTATGGATCCTTCATTCCAGAAGTAGATAAGTATGAACTGAATGGTATGTTAAATCAAATGCAAAAGTTTCCATCAATGGATCAGGTTGAACTAAAAGAAAAAGAATACGAACGAGCCTTATTCTGGTTGAGAGCTTTTGCGAAGCGGCCCATCGGTGTTGTCCTATTGGATTTGCAGAAGATTATTCGATTAGAAAAGGTAGACCATTCATTTACTCTCTCAAACCACCATTTGCTTTCACTTACGTTTTTTTGGATACCTACAATGCTTAGTTTGATTGATCAGCATTTAAGGAATTTATTTTATGAAACTTTACCTGTGCTCCTGAAGTAAATCATTATTATTTTCGAGTAGAGTTACAAAAGTGAAAGTCCATTCAGATCACTCCATGAGAATTGAGGAATTACTCGGGTGAGGCATTCTCTTACCGAGGTTTACTCTAAAGTATCATCAAAGCTAGCTGATTAAGTTGTTCAGTCATTAGTTCAGTAATGTTTTATGAAATACAAGAGAAAAACACTAAAAAATGGGTAGAACAAGGCTATTTGGTAAAAAACACAGCCAGGAAATTTCATGGACAATATCATGCTCATTTTAAACAGGAAATAAAGTTTATAAATTAAAAAAATTCGAACAAGAAAATGAGCATGCAACTAACGGAAGTAGGAATCGGTGCAAAACTCAGGTCCAAGAGAGTTCGCAGAGATCCCCACACCTTGGTCGGTTACATACTCATTTTCTTGTTTCAATTATTTAGTGCATTTTCCGAAGAAAATACACTATTGCATTCTCCCGTGGTGTCAGGACCCAGGCCTGAGACCATGTGAAGAGCATCTATCTCTGTTCTTAGATGACGAAAATACATGCCATTAAATTCATCTTTGTACCTATATTTGTTTTAGGTAAGATATCTTTTTAAGATTTTCCGATTTTTGAGTATTTATATCTTTCTTACATTGCAAGATATTTTAACAATTTTTTTCCCCTAAAGCTTCATCAGAACTATTATTCTGCCCAAAAAAAAAAAAAAAAAAAAAAAATTGAAATTTGAGACAATAGATTTTGTGGGGTGGGGCTCAAAAGTGGGGGGAGGTCAAATCTTGTCCTTGATAACTTTAGTTAAATTGAATGTTTTGAGCTGAACTTTTTATGGGTGGAATTTTTCCCCCATGACTGGTTTAGTCTTGAATTAGAGCAAAATCGGCCCAACCATTTCAGAATGGCGAGCTTTGAACTTTCATGGCAGGCAAGGGAGAGGGTGGTTGCACACTGGGTTAGAGGAAGAAATGTTTTCGACAACTTATTTGTCGCATACAGGGTTAAGGGAAGCAAGCTTCTGGAAAAACTATTCATTATATAATGACTTTCGGGCGTATGACTCTGTGACTACCACTCCCAATTCAGGAAATACACTTGCTTCCTACAGTGGATGTGCAGATCCTTTAAAAAGAAAAAAGAACTGTATGCGCACAAATCTCTAGAAAAACGTGCGCCTCATAGAGAGGCTCAGTCTCCCCAAAAACCGGCATGGAGCCAAGCAGAGCGCTGGTCTTTAATTTTTAACTTTTTTCCAGTTGAGAATGGACCTGTAGTTAGCTCACAACGCCCTGACTGTGTTTTTCACCATTTAGCCGTGTTACACTTAGCAAGTTATTTTTGTGTTTTTTTCTAGTATCTTATCGATCAATTTCTTATTTTGTTTGATGACCTCATAGAATTTTAATTTTTTGTTTTCAGGTCAAAGAACATAATCCCTTGGCTCAGTTCTTTTGCAATGTTTGTAACTATTGTTGCAACTCACTAGAAGTAGTGGTTCATCATATTGCTGACGAGCGGCACAAGAAGAAATTGGAGGTAATTTAACTCTCACCTTAATTTTAATAGTTTAGGCATACTTATGATGACCTAATCCTCATCCACCAGCATTATGGATCCTCTGCTTGCGTTGTAAATCTTTGCTATCTTTTTCTTAGAACTTTGAGATAAAAAAAGAATTTTCATTAATTTTCCCTCCCCTGAAGCTCACGTGAAAACTAACAAAAATTTATATGTTTATCTCTTTTCAGGGTTGCCAAAACCGAGGATGTTAGGGAATTTTATGAAGTCAGGGAAAATTACCAATGTATCAGAGAACATTTTTTAAATCACCTTTAGTTGCTCTATAGAGAATGTGTTTTACATTTTGATCAGCAAATTTTGCGCAAAAACCATTTAGAATAATGTATTTTTAATCATCCGGCCTATCTTCAAATGTCAGGGAGTTTTGTCAATATGTATCATGGTTATCAGGGAATCGTCAGAGAACTTAATTTTCTTCATTTTTTGGCAACCCTGTCTTTTCCAAGTAGTTTGACAAACATACCACAACTGAACTTAAGCATTTGGGGGTGTTAACTTATCACTAACGTATGCAGATTTTTTTTCCTGCTAAGGGAAGGAGGTTTCACATCATCCCTTTGACCCATCACTGTGAGCCTATAAAAATTTCAGAGTTAAGAAATTTAATGTTTACTGGCTTCAAACAAGCTGAGACATTCTAAAGGAAAATGATCCTAAGATCTATCAATATGCCAAAGACCGTGTCTTAGCGACGAATTTGCACAAACAAATTTGATTGCTTCACCTGAGAGTGCTCAATGAGCTGAGTTTGCAGAATTTTTTACCAGAACTGTAGATTTAAAATTGAAAAATCCGCCACTTTGTCATGTCATTTAGCAGCATTTTCTATTTAAGCATAATGTATTTTAACAGATTAGGTCATCTAGTCATATTTCCTTTGATAATTGTTCATTTTAGAAACTGAGGATATTCCTGTGCTCAGTTCACTTGATAGTTTCCTCTCAAACATCAAATTCATCAAATTCAGGACACCTGCCAAATTCATATCAAAAGTTATTTTTCATGCATGATGGCGCTGTATTTTTCCTCTACATCAATACCACACAAACTCTGTTGTCTTCTATTGGTGCATTTAAAGTGCTCATTTTGAGAAGGCACCAACTCAAATGTTTTGTTTTACTTCTTGTGTTTTTGAACGAAAACCAGTCGACAAGAGCAGACAGAGCAAAACTAATTCTAAACTCGATTCCCAAGAAAAATGGGATCAGCCCTTGAGGGCTATTTGAAGTCCAAAAAAAAAAAAAAAAATTCTTGTTGTAATAGGAAAAAGTAATAAAGGGAATGCTTCTATCAAAGATGGGCCTACTGACTGGTCTACCACAGATCAGACGCTCATTTCATTAAGATTAAGATCTAATTTTACTTCCTTTCCAAGACTTGGCTTAACAGTTTACTTTTTGCTATAAATTTTTTGTTCTAAAAATGTTTCAATTTTTTCCCCTTCAGGTTGCAAGAGAAAAAATTTCGATGAAATATTTAGCATCAGCAGCAATCCCAGATTATCATTGCCTGTTTTATTCAGAAGCCCTAGAAACGCACTTCAAACAGATTATGATGTCTGAGAAAAATATCAAACTGCGCAGTAAAGTACAAGAAGACATCTCAAAAATTATCCAGAAATTTTATCCTAGTAAAGGTGAGGTCTATTGAAGCTCATTCCTCATGGAGCGCAAGGGAAGGACTTGATTTGTATGACCACTTTTTCTCCGTACAAGGAGCTCAAGTCATGAGAGTTCTTGTGTTTTTTTCAAATTACCCCAACAACAACCAAGTCGGAAAATGTTCCATAATGAAAGGAGTAAAAATTTCAGGGAATTTTTTTCCAACTTTTAGTGGTCACAATTAAACCCTGTGCACATGATCAATCCTCATTTTTGCATCTCAGCGTTTTTACCCTATATTTTTGTATGGAAATTGCAAGGGCTCACAAATTTTTATCTGGTTAGTCTTTCAACGATCAATTCATCGGAAGAAAGAATTTATGAAAGTGAGCGCGGTCATCAGACCTACCTGGCTTTGAACTCACCTACAATTGAAACAAATAAACTCCTACAGAAAAATTATTCACAAGTCTTATTGCTCAGTTTGTTTGCTGCAACGGTTTAGTGTTTCAAAGTTTTACATGAATCAAGAGAAAACTTTATAAATTGTTAATTGAAACTTTTTCGGCCTTTTCATATTTCCCCTTGCCTATGCAGGGATTGTAATGGAGCGCTTTTCACATCCTTGGTTTTATCTCAGGCCTGTTCAATTGATTTTGGCTTTTTTAGGATTTGAGGTGAGGCTCATTGGCTCCTCTGCACATGGAATGGGACTTGAGTCAGCAGAGGTTAACTTGGACCTTAGTCTCCCGACAGATACGAAAATATCCCAAGTATTTCTGGATATTTCTGAACACATGAAAGCAAGTCATTTTAGGTAAACATCTACTTCTTTTTTTGTCAACTAGTAATTTGTTCTAAAAGAAATTCTTATCCATAGTAAACCTACCAAACTACAGATCTGGATTAGGGTATTCAAAAATTGCCGCCTACATTTTATTTTTTCAAGAGAGCGCTGCTCGTAATTATTGCCTAAAATTTTCAGAAGACGTTCTTGAGAAAACCAAAAAAAAACCAAGCAAAATACTGTGCAAAAAGAATGATTAGACTTTGTTTGAAATTTAAAATATAACAAGAGTTTTCTGATGTTGCAAACCAAGATCTGCAATTTGGTACATTCACTATCAATATAATTTATTTGGTGTTTTTCCACAATTAATAATAGAAAACCTTGATATCGTCCCCAAAGCGAAACTTTTAAAAAAAAGAATAAACTTAGATTACGAGATGGTTGTTTGGATTCTCTATCCAATGAGAAACATGTGTCAACCTGTCTGTGCCTGTCGGTATTAAGTATGTGACTCCATGTATCAATCATTTTTCTTTTGATGACATATTTGCACGTAGTTCTCCTTTATTTTTAAATTTCCTTTAATTTATCCTAGGTTTTACCCTCACAATGTTCATCACAGGGATAAAAAATTTACTGGTAAAAAATGATAGTGGCGACTTTTTTTATTTCTTGTTTATCTACAGTGCTGTAAGTATTGACCATGATGCTGATTTTCTTCTGCTGACATCAATCCACAATAGCTCCAAATTGAAGTGTACAATGAGTGTCAATCATACAAAAGCATTCAAATTAGCACTCCTACTGACGGAATACAAGAAGATTGATCCTGTAGTTACCAAACTAGCAGTATTATTCAGGCACTGGGGCCAGGTCAGTTTTCAAGAAAAAAACTATACCTAATTTATTTTTGTTCTGAGATTATAATTATTTGCAGCTACCATTTAAAGTGAAGATAAATAAAGGACAAAGTCCACGCCAAATAAGTACACATTTTTAGTCTGCTACAGATCATCTGATGTCATTTTTGCATGGAAAGTAATAAATGCAAGACGGCAGATCTTCTGTCGCATTCTTAAAATGCGCAAACTTAGTTGGCGTAACTGTAATAATAATAAATTGCATATGGCAGTAAGGAAATCAAAATTCAACATCAAGTAGTGTTCTTTCTTTTCTTTTCTTCTCTGTATTCATGAGGTTTCAAAACAATGTCTGGCTATTAGAGCAGTAGAGCACTATGAAAAATGTCGAGCCAAAGAAGATTTGGTAATAAATAGGTTCCAATAGGTCAGTTGCACTAGCTGTAGGATTGTATTTTGATTTTTAGGCTTATAGATGATCAAAAAATAATAAGATTTGCCCAAACTCCTAGTTTCTATGTTATTACCTGTTTGTGGAAATATCACTTGTTGAAAAAAACAGCGTTTTAGATCATCTAACACATTAGCTTACACCATGGTTTCTTCCACAATGATTTTATTAATTAGTGATGCATGCATTTGCACTGGCTTCTCTACTTTAAACAAGGATGAAACCAAAGGTAGAAAAAACCATGGAGTGCACCTCTGTGGTTTGTAAAATTATAGGCTGTGCTCTTTGAAAGGCAATATTTCTGTTAATGCTGGACATTGGCGTTTAGAAGATCTTATTCATTTTTCAGGTGGAAGTTTGAGCCCCCTACCAGTCTGCCCTGGTACTTTGCGCTGCGCTTTGTCTATTTTTGTGTTTCGTTCGATTTTGAATGATTGATGAGGGAAAGTCAGAGAGATGGAAAATCCAAGGGTCAGAGAAAACCTGGAAAGTTAGAAAGAAGCGAAAGAAAATTTTATGAGTTACCTCATAACCCTCATCGACCAGGATGGGACAAAATTTTAAGAATGTCATCAAATACTAATGTGAAGATACTTTCGCTTATTTTCTTGAAATGAGCTCTCTATTTTGTGGAGCTACAAGCAACCATTAACTCGACATGCTAATTAGTGAACACTTGATAAATATCCCAAGTTTCAACCTTCACAACCTCCTACTCTCATCCCAATTAAAGAGTGCCTATTTTGGTCACTTATTCCTGTCCCCAAAGTTTTAAAAGCCAGAAATTTTCTGGACAGTTAATGGGGAATTAATTGTCAAAATTCAAGGTAGGTCAAGATTAAGTTGTACCTCACAAATTTTTCAGATAATCAGAAACATTGTATCATGCTGCTTCTGAAATAAACCTCTGAAATTTTTCAAAAAGGGAATGGAAGGAGTATTGGTTAGTGCCAAGTAAGTTGATTCACTAGTCTATCTCCAACTAATCTACTACCTTTTATTTTTCAGTTAACGAGTACAGATGATCCAAAACATGGAACTCTGCCAGGCTATGCATTTTACTTGCTTGTAGTATACTTTCTGCAACAAAAAGGCTTTCTGCCCATTTTGTCTGAAAAACCCAGTCTTACTGGTGCTGATTCGGAAGGAACTTGCAGTAAGTTTGATTGTTTACTTGCTTTTTCTATTTATATACTGTTCTCTTCTAAAATTCCTACGTAAGCTAGAATCTCTCCATCTGATTAAATTGTCTGTACATAATATGTATGAAAGGACTGCATGCACAGTATCAAGAAATTTAGCGCCAACTACATTTTGACTTTATTTGATATGATGGTTTCCTATAGTCTCCTAAGCACAATGTGCTTTTAAAATCAAACTGCCTGCATGCCAATCTCAAGGAAAGCAAGGCTAAAAAGTGAAATGGTCAGCCATCACACTTGTGTTTTCTAGTGAAGGTGTGAGACTGTTGGTACGTACGTTTTGACACTGCCCCTCGCTGTTATCATTCTGAGAAAGTTGATTCTTTTTGTCTGTCTTATCTTCCTGGCTTGCTAGAAAGCAAAAGATCACCCAGATCACAGATAAGATGTTGCAATATTTCTTTCACATATTAAATGTAAATATGCCAAAAAATTCCCTTTTCAGTTCTGCTTTTCTTGTCCTTTTGTGTGAGAAGAATTCTTTATTTTTTTTTTTTCTCAAAAACCAACCACCTTGATACAAAAGGGTTTCAGAGTAATATCTTATTGCGCCAATGTAATTACTATGCCAATGTCAAGCTCTTTATTTTCTTTTTCTTTTTTTAGAATTTGAGAAAGTGGGTGACTGGCAGAAGCCAAAAGAATTAGATAACCCAGCAATTCTTTTTACAATGTGGCGAGAACTGTTTAAATTCTACCTAGTTGATTTTGAAATGGCCAAACATGTGGTCGCCATTAGCAGCCAAAAACCTGTTCTAAAGGAAACCTACAAATGGGGAGGAAAAAAACTGTCAATTTTAGGTATGTACCATTTATCCCTTTTTGTATTAACTAATAAGAACCCGGTATATTTTTAAGGAACTAGAAATTTCATGTCTCAACCCTTCCTTAAGGTTTGCTTTGACACTGCATAATGCCCAGCAGTAAATAGGCTTGTTGCAAACTTTTACTAGAACCAAAATAATAGTTGTTTCTATCAGTAAATGTCTCAAAAATCATGATGAGGGCATTGCCAAAGTTTGAAATGCACCCCTAACTTTACAATCTGCGCAAGAAATTTGCGTTTTTTGAGCTTCCCTCTTCAAAAAGGATATCACGGCACAGATGAACATTTCATTTGAGGAGTCGTTCCAATTAAATCTTTCGCAATAGCAATACCCAACATAGCCGAAGCTTCCGCGCGCAAATCACAATCAGGAGCACAAGGTCAACCAAAGCGGATCTTCATCAACACAAAGTAATCGTTAATCTAAACACGCTAGGTTGTTAACAAATAGTTAGAATCTCGTCCAGGCACATGCTTTTCGGTAGATTGGTGTCAGCCTTGTTGGATATTTTGTTGAATACTAATGCACAGGGGTTGAATGGAATGAGTCCACTAACGAAAAGTTCACCTGTGCCGCAGTATCGTTTTTGAAGCGGGAAGCTCAAAAAAACGCAAATTTCTTACGCAAATTGTAAAGTTAGGAGTGCATTTCAAACTTTGCCGATGCACTCATTGTGATTTCTGAGACACCTACTGATAGAAACAACTCTTACTTTTGCTCTAGCAAAAGTTTGCTACAGGCCCATTGTCTGTCTGAATCTCCTCTCAAGTATTCAATGTATCCACACTATATTATATTGTATCAATTAAGAAGCAGGGGCTGATAAAAACGTTTGAGAAAATATCTATCAAACTTATTACTGAACTTAAAATATTTCTCTACGGGTGGTTTAATTTAAGTGGAATCACATTTTTAATGAAACTAACATTGAATGTCTTTACACCTCTTCGTGATTTTACTTTTAAGTTTGATAGTAGCATTATCTTCCCATGCTTTGATATCAATATATAAATGTATGAGTCAATTTTGAATATGATATCTGTAATTTCTCCGGTCAGTAACTTTGTGAACCTAATGAATGAAGTTGATTCACCTCCTAATAATTACTATTCAGCAAATTGAAAGATAAAGAGCGACGCCAAAAACGACCGTTTTTTGGCACAATTTGGGCCAGAAGGGATTTTTCTGAAACCGGGCCCAAACGATACCTTATGATACCCTAAAACTCTGGTTAAAATTTTAGCTTGAGTATACGCACGGTTTTTGAGAAATGAGGGGGCAAAGTTGCCAAATCGCCATCATTCTGGGCAGCATTTCTACAGCAAAAAGACGGGAAAAATGGACGAAAAAGTTACACCTTTGATGGGTTTCGGCTGTAAATGTTCTTATTGGGCCCCCAGGCATTTAACTGTGTTCAGTTTCAAAAATTTTGATCGCACAGTGGTCCAAAGTAGGGAGAAATCGTCGACAAATCATGATTCTTTGTCAAATTTTTAAAAATGGAAATAAAATTGTCGGTCTGCTGCAGTTTTCATGGCTAACAATGTTCTTATCGGTCCTCAATGCATGAAATTGTGTTCAGTTTCACAAATTTACATAGCACAGTGGTCAAAAATGAGGGAATTAGTGGACAAATTAAGATCCTCTGTGAAACTTTTTAAAAATGAAGTGAAACTGTTGGTCCCCAGTAGAGTTTAGATCCCGGAAAAATTCTTTAAATTATTTTTTGGACTGCTTATTTCATTTTTTATTTTTTTCTCTCCATGTTTCCTTCTTTTTTTAAATTTCTGAAAGTTTGCATATTTTATTGACATAATGCTACAAAGTTTATTCGATAACAACGTTCTATAGACAATACGGTCTGACATGCAGTAATAATTAAGAAAATTAAATACATGAATTTTTCCGAGATCTAAACTCTACTGGAGACCAACAGTTTCACTTCATTTTTAAAAAGTTTCACAGAGGATCTTAATTTGTCCACTAATTCCCTCATTTTTGACCACTGTGCTATGTAAATTTGTGAAACTGAACACAATTTCATGCATTGAGGACCGATAAGAACATTGTTAGCCATGAAAACTGCAGCAGACCGACAATTTTATTTCCATTTTTAAAAATTTGACAAAGAATCATGATTTGTCGACGATTTCTCCCTACTTTGGACCACTGTGCGATCAAAATTTTTGAAACTGAACACAGTTAAATGCCTGGGGGCCCAATAAGAACATTTACAGCCAAAACCCATCAAAGGTGTAACTTTTTCGTCCATTTTTCCCATCTTTTTGCTGTAGAAATGCTGCCCAGAATGATGGCGATTTGGCAACTTTGCCCCCGCATTTCTCAAAAACCATGCGTATACTCAAGCTAAAATTTTAACCAGAGTTTTAGGGTATCATAAGGTATCGTTTGGGCCCGGTTTCAGAAAAATCCCTTCTGGCCCAAATTGTGCCATTCTTGGCGTCGCTCTTTGTGTTACCATCAAGCTTTTGAGAATGTTTTTATCCAAAGTGGATAGACACAAGTCATTCTGTAAACTCTGTAATAGTTGAATGGGAAACTTCAATTATATTGTCTTCTATTCGCATTCTGACCTGATTCTTTATTTGGTCTCCTATGCAAGCAATCAGATCCCATGAGTTGTTAGAGGTAAGAACTCAAACTTTCCAGTTCATGTTTCCTCCTCCGAAGAGCTTCTAAAAATGTGGCCGGTTTTGGGGCTCTTGAAACCAAATTCAAACCGTGGGCCAAGTGACATTTTATGAAACCCTTATTCTCAGAAAAGTATGCAAACAGTTTTAGAGGTACAGGGAATCAAAGTTTTTCTTGGTTNGGGGGGGGGGGGGTTAAGGATTTCTGTATGTCAAAATGGGCTGATTTGTTGCATGAGTCAGCATGGCTTTAAGTAACCCTACTTATTCTTTTTTGCAGATCCATTTTCATTGAGGAACATAGTTGCAAGGACAGTTTACCACGAAGCTTGTCATAATTACATCCTAGGATGTATGATTTCAACTTTAGTTTACTATTCAATTCCTGTCACCAAACAAGGACCCATTTTCAGCTACATCAATGAAGATTTTGATGCTTGCGCTTTTGACTGCTTTTACTCTGTTGTGGATAGGTACAAGAAGATACAAAGATGCCTCGTGGATCAAATTCTCAAATGCGATCTGAACTATCAAGAGAATAAGGACAAAGAAAGTAAGCATATTGCAATAAAATACAATTTTAGTCAGCAATAAGTAGCGTTAGCAGTGATAGGAAAAAATTAGTGTGGGTTAGATAGTGTCAAGTGGAAAATAGGAATCAATAAAGATACGATACTGCCAGAAAAATTCTCATGAGAGAAAGCTTATAAGTAAAATATTATATTGATTCGTAGAAGTGCTTTTGTAATCTTTGTCACGGTTGGGCCAAAACGGATTTTCTGTGTGAAAGTAACGGGAAGAATACTGAATATTTGGCCAATGTATCTGCCCAAAAGTGGATTGTAACACATGCCCAAAGCACTCTTTTTGGGTCAAGAAAATCTCCAATTTTCTACTTTTAATGCTTAACAATTTCCCCCAAATTAGGATTCTCATTTTCCCAGTGAATCTTGTAATTACTGGAAGTTTCAACGAGGCTGTGGGCAGTGGCAAAAAATTGCAAGAATAAAATGTTTATCCTTCATACACATCTGTTCCTACGCCCTTTTAAACAATGCTTTTTTTCATTTTAAGTAAAAAAAAGTTGCATTAATTCAAGGAAAGGAGCCGCTCATGCATGGGGATGCACCTCTCTTTTTATAATGAAACAAAATTATGGTGGAATCTACAATACATGTACATCTTTCTCTTCAAGTTGACTCTTATCTGCAGGATTTAGTATTGCAAAACAAAAAGAATTCATTTAGAAGGCTGTTGTTAGCAATAATTCTGCTTTTAAATAGGGGTCAAAAGGGGCTTTCATGAATTAAGTAATACAATACATTTTAGGTCCTAACATCCACCAATGCTCCTTAATGCCTTTTAATTATGCAATAGATCCTGAAAAACTCCACTGGCTCCTGCCTGCTTGTGCCTCTAAAACATTGAGAGCTATCCATAACTTGACAAAGGGCAAGGAGGTTTCATTACTCTTGCTTCCTTACACTTCCTTGGTTTCTCACACTCTACTGATTTTTTATACATATCCATCTCCTAACGTATTTTGCCACCTGAGATGAGGATTGTATCAAACTCACCATGAAATAGATACCCTTGACCATAAAAATTTCCAATGAATGTTATCACCATAGCAATAGCTTAGAATATACCAATAATTCTAAGAACAAATCAATTAAAATTTTTTTCATGATTTTTACTCGAAAATAACTAAGCCCTGCGGTATCCAAGAGCTCCATTGTAAAATTTCTAAGCTTTTAAATACTTGTTAAGGTGTTTTTTCAAAAGTGTATTATGAATATGATTATTTACTCGATATTTCGTAAGCGCATAAATTTTAATTCTCCCTCTTTAATATTTTCTCTTAATCTAGATAGCGTGCAAGAGCCCTCTGGAGAAATAATTGAGCCACCTGAGTGTCTGTTTGAGTGGCAAGATTATTTGATGGAAGCACCTATTCCACTTTTTAAATCTTTACCTCCTCGTAATGCATACATCAAGCTCGCAGTAACCAAAATACAAGCAGAACTCATGATAAAAGCTTTGAAGCAAGATGCTTTGAGCTTCAGTTTTTGTAGAGAGGTTTTTGTTAATTGTAAGGTAAGAGTACATTATCTCTTCTCTTCCCTTTTTACCACCTGATACTTTTACTGTTCTTCTCTGAGTGTTCCAAGATGTGTGATATTTTTGTGGTTCAATGTTTCTTGTTACTCACCCAAGATTGCAATTCATATTTCGACTCATACAAGAGAATTAATAAGTTTTCTTCAGCAGTTGAAACAATATGAAGCAGGCAGAACAGGTCCAAGGGTAGACCAAAAAATAATGCCTTCGGTTGTCCCATTTCTTGTCAAAATGAGTTATTTGATCTTACTAAGTGACATTCTATTTTTGAAATTGTCAGCTCGCTAGAAAACTCAGGATGAACTTCCCAGATACATGCAGTTTGAAATATGTAATTATCAAAAGAATGTAGCTAATTTTGTGCAGGAAGTTCAAGGAAAGGGCAGTGTACAAATTTCTGCAATTTTTTCTCTCTCTCTCTCTCTGTAAGGTAATTTGCACCTGGCAATCAATCATAATTTCTCAACATCCTCAATTCCATGATCTGGAATGGTAATAGGAAAGGAGTACAGATAGGTAATCCTTGCCCTCTCTTCTAGTGAAGTTTTTGTTCAAAAAGGGTCGGAAAAGTGATGTTGACAGTGTTATGGGATTTAACAGGATCCACTCTTGAAAATATTATAATGTGACAGCAAAGTTCAGTAGCTTAATCATTGTGATTCTCTTTATATTCTAAAGGGAAGAAGCAGAAAAATAATTAATTAAGTCCGGACCAATCAAGTTTTTTCCTGCACTTTGACAGTGCGCAATCTTATTCTAGTTTAGGCACTGCAGCGAAAATTGACTGATTAAAGTTTTAAGTTCTCTCTGACCGGTTTGTTTTTCACACTGATTTTTTGCCCTTGACTTCCTTTATATAATATTTAATTACCTTTTTTATGGCAGGAAGTACCAGTATACTGTGCTGGATGTCAGCAAGAGGGACATTATAGGGATAAGTGTCCAGATGAATATCTTCCACCCATGGGCCATGTTCCTCCAGCCAAGCCAGATGCACTTGAAAAGCTCACAAAAGTTTGCAAAGCTGTCCAGAGTAAGCGTTAACTTGTTTCTTTTACTTGATTCTTACAAAAATTGTCATCAACTGAAGTATATTATAGATACAGAATAACAATTCTAAGTAAGATGAATATTTTTCTAGGCATTTGGCTCAAATTAAACTGGCGATTTTTTTTTTTAAATTTGCCACAAAGCCAACAATAGGTTTTAAGTGGATTTTTAGTGATGGTTCTGATAATTACCTCCGTTCTCTGGATCAGTTTGGTTTCTCCTAGGTAGATAGGAATTTTTCCTTAAAATCGAGGTTTTCTGGGGNCATTTCATTCGGCATGTCGCCGCACGACTTCTATGATACTCAAAGTCTCACATATATAATTTGAAAGGGGGGGTCTGGGGGGGTGGCGCCCCCTCAGCAGGTAGCTTTTGCTACTTGTTTAATTCAGCCACCAATAATACTTCAATGACCTTGTATTGCATTCCTATCAAATTTTCCCTCTGTCCCCAATCTTGAAGTTTTTCTAGTTAAAAGCCTCCTTTCAAGCTTGTAAAGCTCATCCAATAGTTTTGCATCAGTATAGATTGGATAAAAAAGTTTCTCCGATGTCATACGGAAACAATCCTACCTAGATTTTACTGCTGAAGCTGAAAAAACCCCTTTTTCATGAATTCAACATGCCAGACAATCGGATAAGTATGAGGTGGTCTATGAGCGGAAGGGGGCATTTAATCAAGAAGTCTTTGATATCAGTTATTGAGGAAAAAATTCAAGAGGCTTGCATTACTTGATTCCATGTGTATTTATAGCTGCTGAATCCAAAAATGACCTTGACTTTTCTGAACAAATTTTCTGAATAATTGAATTTTCTCTTGGGAAGCTCAATTTTTAGGGAAAATTCTGCTTTTTTTTTTGAGGAAAATTTCGAGGAAATTTTGAAAAAAGAAAGGTGATTTTCAGAATCAGTGCTGAAAAAATTTCCGGCCAATTAGTTATCAAGTTTGTGGCTAATTGAACCCATTGTGGCGTTGATACACCAGTGTTGTCAATGGTTGGGCCAAAAAAAATTATCAAAACGAAAATTTTGAAGATGACTTTCCCCCCTCCACTGCTAGCCACCTCTCACTGTTACTGATTTCTGCAGTTTTCTCTGCCGTTGTGCCTGCAATTGAATTTTTGATGCAGTGCACCATGTAAAATCCTGGCATTGCTGTTGCCATGCTTTGTTTATGCCAACTTACAATCAAGCTCATGGAAATCATTTTCAAACCTACTCCCATTCAAAGATTCCTTCCGCATCTGGTTTTTTTATCGCCCACATTCCATCCCCATCATTCTGGCTATTGTAATTAGTTTCAATGCTATAGACTTTACTTGAATCTAAAATATGAGAGTTATACATAAAAATATTATCGTCAGCTTGCTTGAAAGCAGCAATTTTTATCAAATTTCCAGCAGTGCCCCCCCCCCTCCCGGGTTCCTGGGGATGAAGAAAAAAAAAGCCATCCAAAAGTCCCATTTTAAAAGTATCCAACTAAAATGGCAGTATTTCCACTAATAGATGAAAGTCAGCTATCAAAGTAGAATGTAAATATGCATGAAATCAACTGGTAATGATGACTCGTTTCTCAACCAAGCTAAGAATTCAATTGTTTCCTCATTGTCCCACAGAAAAAGTCCAACTTTCTCAAAATGATCTTTTCATGCGAGAAAAAGTACTCAAAGAGCTTGAAGGTTACATCAACGAGAGGTTTCCTGAGGCAAAATTACACTTGTTCGGTTCATCTGCTAATGGTCTTGGCCTTAAAAATTCAGATCTTGATATCTGTTTATTACTCAATAATGATGAAGTTCTAAAGGTAAGCTTCAACAAGCAGGTTAGAATATTCATTCATCCATTTGTTTATTCTTTGTAATTTTTTCCAGGTTGAATTTTAAGGGAGTATTAAGTAATCTATGTGAAGATAAAGTATGAATAAAATTTTTTCTGCACACATGCTTTCAGTGAATGCATTTTAGGCTGAATAGGTATGTTATCAGTTCAATACCTGAAAATGAAGAGTCGAGTATGAAACGATTGTAAAATGGAAATTTAATGTTTCCATTAGTTTTCACTTGTATAGAAATGAAGTATTAAAATGTATCTACAGGCAGTTAGACTAACTATTGAGAATTGCTCGGATAACATTTTATTATGGCATGATGATCTGCTGTGCTAAAGAAAAACGCCATATGAGCTCTCAGAAGTTGCCAAAGTTCCTTTGAAAACCCGAATTTCTCATTTGAGGTTAAGTAAGTTCTGTGTGAATGTTTCATATTCTACATACATCTGTATCGCATTCTGATTGGAAAGCTTAGAAAATTAAGAACAATGGATATGAATCTCAAACAAAGTAACCTACATAACCTCCAATCGACCAACAAAAACATATCGCCAACGCGCTGCCGCCAAGTATTCTTCCACTACGCACTCCGCTGCCTTATTGATCGTGACGTGTACATTCGAAACCTACAAGCGCGCAGTTCAAACGCCGTTTTAGGCCACCCTAATTTTTGGCACTTTCGAGTAAACTTTTCTCCCGTTTGCAGTCATGAAAAAAAATTAGGAAAAAAACTGCAAGCTTCACACTTAGTACTTTTGAATGACACAATAAAAAAAATGACTTAACTGACTCATTGTGTATAACAATTTCCGTGAAAGTTTAAAATTGTGTTGTATCTTTAATAGCCATGCAATTGATTTTTTTTTCTTTCAGAGTATGGCTGTTGCAGATTTTTTCAATCAGCTATGTTCAGTTTTAAAGGCCAGTAAAAGTGTATATAACGTTGTTCCAATCAGCACAGCTAAGATTCCAATCCTCAAGTTTGTGCATCGCGCCTCCCGCTTGAAAGGAGACATAAGCTGCAGTAATTTACTAGCCTTAGAAAATACCAAACTTCTCAAATCATATTGTAGTATCGATGATAGAGTTTCGGCAAGTATATTCTCTTTTAGTTTTACAATCTTGTTTTCTATAACCTTCTACACACATATCCATAGATATAAAATTTTACTTTTTTTTCTTTTTCTTGGTCTTCTTTGTGCCGTTTTCCTGATAGAGGCTTTGAATTAAATATTAATTCCAATACAGTGAAACCTCAATAACTCGGTTTCCATCGGGACCGAGGAAATTTACCGAGTTAAGCAGGTTACCGATTTATGCGAACTGCCACTTTTCCTGCCGCGCTTTTTTAAATTTCGCGCCCTAAATTGGACAAACGCAAACGTGCGTGTAGAGTGACTTATAGGAGTGTTTTGCAGAGTCATGTGATCGAAGAAAATGGTACTCAATAGTAAAATTTCATGAGATCCACTTGAAATTGCGTGTTGAAAGTGTCAGGGCATCATGAAGTCATCGGGTTATTCGTTTGTTGGGGTGCCGCGCGGTGATGCGCCGCGGCCGCCCGGGCGCTATGGCGGGTCGTTGCACTGAAAATGCAACGCAACAATACTCGCTAAAATCCTCGAAAAACCCTGCGGGCATTGCCCTTCCCCCCTCCCTGGGGGGAGCGGGGAAGGGCAATGCAAGATGGTAGGGGGAGAGGGGTTGGTGCCGACTGGACCTGTCAACTCATCGATGCGTGAAATCGCTTAATTATGCATGCGTGTTTTCACACGCGCGCGATAAGACAAACACGCGGTATCAGATAACCTATTCACTACTGTCCTCATCTTTCGTGTTGTTATCGAGTGCTTTTGATTCCTTATCTCTCGCACTGCGCTGCGCTCTCTCGGGGATTCGCTCACCCTTCATGGCGTAACTTGACCCGACCCGCACGTAAACACTACTTACGCTTGATCACGGGTGACGGTCGAAGAAAAACAGATCGAGATGGAAAAATTTCACCGAGTTAAGCGGTTTCAGAATCTGACCAAACCGAGCTATCCAGACTTATTTAGCATTGTGTTATATGGGTATTAAACGGGACGGGGCGATTCTACCGACTAAAGCGGTTTACCGGCTTATCCGGGAACCGAGTTATTGAGGTTTCACTGTATTGCATATTGCTTTAACAGTTACTTAATAACAATCAGGCTTAAATACATAGAAAATCTTTTTTATTACAATAAAACGATAACTATGTTGACTTATCACCGATGCGCATTGCAGCTAAATGCTATCTTCAGGGTGTAAGCACAGGCTTTTAACACATATTGTAAGACGAAAAAAAACGGTAAAAGCACAAAATAGCAAAATAGTTCATGCTATGACCAACGGATTAGTATATTGTGTGATTGTTTCATTGCATCGTTGCACAAATCATGTTGGACATACTTGAATTTGCACCTTGTGTAATAGTCCAGTCTCCAGATTACCGCAGACACGTTCTCTTGGAAACAGTTTTAAATCAAATTTCACTTTTCTATGTCTATTACAACTCTTCACGTCTAATGTATAATATTTAAAGTAATATTTATGATTCAAAATGTGAAGTATTTTTTTTAATTTTTCCCATGAACATTCTCTGCTTTCTCTTGCTGTGTAGATCATGTGTCAAATGATGAAATATTTAATGAAATCCTGCAATGTCTGTGACGCATCTAGAGGTAGCTTATCATCCTATGCCTACTCATTGATGGTCATATACTTCCTTCAGCAATGCTCTCCACCTGTAATTCCTGTTTTACAAGAGGTAAGACATTTTTACTTTTCTCTTGCAGTCATGACTGGATTGATGAGCAAAATTTATCTATGAATTAAGTGTGCTGTAGATAAGACCTAAGACAAAATCTGGAACAAAAATGGAAAACAGCTATTAGAAGTATACATATAGGTACTGTGTATCCTAATGTATCCCTTTTTTTTCTGAACCAAAGATGGAAAATTTTGTGCCAATTTTTCATTGAACTAGGTATTTCCAGCAAAGGTGCCGAGTTTTCCCAGGAAGTGGTTCCAGGAAAGAAATTCTCACAAGTACTGTATGTCCATCTCCCTCTCCCCCTCCCAAAAAACATTGTATGAAAGGGTGCATACTTCCACTGCCGTTGTTTAGTTTTCCGTTAATTTTTATCTACTGAAACCTTCTAGAATTGTAACTTTGGCAAGGAGGCAGCCTATCTTCTGGGAGAAAATTTTCTTTAACTTTCTCCAAAAACTAAAACCACGTTTTTCTACAACGTAAGACATCGGAACTTCAAGACTCATACTCCTTCAACTTTGAATTTTCAGAGTCAGTATGGCACCAAAATTTCTAGATTTTTTTATGCATTTGCAAAAAGTTGTTGAAAATTTTGCTCAAAGAGACAAGGTAGTTTTTCACAGATCTGATCACAAATTAACCCCCCTCTTTGACCCTGTTGTGAAAATCCGGCATTCTTAAGGCAAAGTAAAGTGGTAGCATGCCATAAAAACGGCAGCAGAGAACATCTTTATCATATCTGACTGACTTTTTATGCAATGGGTCAGTCGCATTGAATTTTCGGAGGGTTGTAGTATTGTTTTTCTGAAGTAGACTTTAATGAAGACGCAAAAAATATCGTTCAAAAGTTCAAAAAATCATTCCTACAGGGAGGGAAAGCTAATTCAAATCCGGCCAAAAAATCGAGATGTATGTAAAAATTGTATGCCTTGGGATCCAAATTTTTAATGGTCCCTAATTTTAGATGTATGCACTGGTCAAAGGATTCCTAAATGGTTGGATGCACAGAACGCAGGCTAGATTTTTTTTCTCTTTTTTTTTTTTTCAAGAATTCTATTTAACTTCATTATTTCGTTTCATATCAATATTCAACCTTTTATTTTCAGTTGCCGCCGCCAAATCAAAAGACAAGTATAGATGGCTTTGAAGTTTCGTATTACAAAGATATTCCAAACATTGTAAGTAACCATCCCTCTTGTTTGTATCTTCAAATTGGTATTGGAGATCAAAAACAATTTGTGTAACATGTTGTCTCTCTTGAATATTACATGAATAGAAAAAAGTTTGCAAGGTAAAACAAGAAAGGTTTAGTTCAATCTCGCTAAGTTGTACTACAAATAAGACAAAATCCTGCTTGAGTCAAAATTCTTTCAGTGCCTAGACAGCGCCAAAAGGCTCAATGTAAGCAAACTAGAATTAAGACAAATTCGTGACTTTTGCAACGAAGGAAAAGCTACTTAAGTTGAAGAAATGTTCAGGGGAATCCCAAAAAAATGCCATTTTATACATGAAAAATCATGTATAAAATGGTTGTACTTAAGAAGAGGAACAAAGTTAGACATAATTCAAACAAATATTTTTTAAGGCAGTATAGAAGAAAGAGATTACAACTTTGTGACTTTTGATGTTTGTCAGTGATTAGTTGATGTCAATGACACCTCTTATTTCCAATTTAAGAATTTTTTTCAAGAATAATTTTTTATTTTTGATTCTCAGATTGAACTTGGGAATTTTGAAATACTTAGAAGATTACAGACTTAAAGTTGAACATTTTTTAATTTGACTATCAAGAACTGAAGAGAAGTCAATTAAAAAGATAGATTTTGACAATTTACTTTAAAAAATTCAAAATTTATAAGGCTCAGGTGTATCAACCTGTAACTTTTCCTCTTAATTTACTTGACCTTTGATATGTTTTCCTTGTGCTGCTCATTGTGCGTACCAAGGCTCTGCTAGGAATCCCTTTAAAAATTAAGAGAAGATGTTTCTGCTTGATTCAAATTTTTCAGAGTATTCTGGGGTTTTCAAGGCTGAAGATAACAAATGAAGGTTTTCAGAACATCAATGATCTAATAGAGATAATGCCAAGGAGATACAAAAAAAAAGAAAAGAAAAGAGAAAAGTGAGTCAAATAAAATGACAAATAATGAAAAAAATATTAATAGCATATTAAAATAATACCTAAGCCAAAAATGTTGATTAAGTTTTCCTTTATCTTTTTATTAAACTCAACAAATGCTTTAATTTGTACTTTGCCTGATTGTTAATGTAATGGCAAAGGGAATTTAAAAATTCCTTTTTCCAGTTCCAAATTCCTTTCCATTTATGTATCAGCAATTTCAAAGAAATTTCACCTTTTCATTATTTTTGGTTGACCTTCACTGTTCATATTTGTTGCAGGCTAAAGTTTGGCCACAGCTTGGTGCAAATAGCAAATCGTGCAGCGAACTCTGGTTAGATTTATTGGAATTTTATACTGAAAGATTTGATTTCAATCATCATGTCATCGCTGTCCGTCAGACTAAAATTTTGACAAAACTAGAAAAACTTTGGTTCTCCAGTATCACGATTGAAGACCCTTTTGAACAAACTCATAATTTAGGATCAGCGCTATCCAAAAAGAGTAAGTCTTATGAATAATGACTACAACATAATGCTCTAATCAGTAATTTTAACCAATGAATGATTGGCGCGCAGCTATTTGCTTCTGGTAGGTAGTTTAGTAAAAAAGGAAAACAAAAAGTTGATTAAAATCTATTTCAAATCAGTTCCCATCAAGCAACATTGCTTGCTTTTTAAGGGGTGTTGATAAATATGTCGAACAAAACCGCTCAATCCTACAATGCAAGCTCATTTTCTCATTTTCTATTTTTAAATTTTCACCGAATATTCTTCAAGCCAAGAAAGTTTCATCACAGAAATTTTAAAAAAATTACGTTGCTTGGGCATTTTTCCAGTCAAAAGGTTCAGTATGATAAGCAGGCAAAGTCACAAATTGAAATATGTGGTCTTTGATTTAAGTATGATATTTATGGAATATTTAGTTCAACAGAGGATAGTAATTTTCCTGAATTGTTTTAATGAAACAATGATTTCCATTTCTTGTAAGCACCAGATGTGGGCTGATATAGAAGGTGAGTCAAATAAATTTGATTTGTGCTCCTTTCAACAGAGATACTGATGATGATTTTTATTATTTTCTTTCTCAGTGTCTGTTTACATTCGCTCAATCTTCCAAAAAGCAAGACTCCTGTTTTCTATGCCGCCATCCATTAGTAGTAATGCCTCACCTGAACTTTTAGTGGTATGTTTCCTTTTTCATTGTCCTCTTATTATTGTCTTTATTACATTTTTTCATGTTCTCAAATGTGACTTATTTATGCTGAAAGGAACTATGTTACATGCAAACTAGTGTTGGGACGAGGGTTCGTCTGAATCATCTCGAAGATTCGGTATTTGGTTTCAAAATGCTCAAACTCGAACCTGAATCCGCGAATCCTCTGAAATTTCAAAATTTGCGCCATGAAACCAAATCCTGAAGATTCCCGAAGATTCTTGAATTGCATTGAATATCGATATCGTCTCTCAATCTCATCAATTTCAAATTTCGACCTATTCCAGAGTGTTCTTTAGCAGTAAATATCTGTATAAATACTCGCGACGTCGAGATATCGCAGCCAGTATTTGTTTACCTGCGTAGTGATAAAAAAAGTACTGAGTTTCTGAAAAGTGAAGGATTTGCGACAGACTCAGATTCAAGGATTTGAAAGTTAAAATTTGGGATTCGGATGCGAGTAAATTGAGGATTTGACCGTACCTCAAAGCAAACCCTGTGCACGCAGTTCCTATCAGCATAATTACGTCCAATTTATGTATAAACCCTAATCAGCCCAACTAGTGCAGATGCTAAACGTTCTCTAATGTTTTAATTTTTTTTTACAAGAAAACTAAGCAAAATTTTGCTTTACAATTTTGCAGTATAGGTCAGGATTTTTTCAGTATATTTTTTACACTATAAGAGAAATACACGGAAAATCTCAAAGCCTTATGTTGCTCAGTTTTTCTGTCAAAAAATGAAAGTTGGAAAGCACCCAGGCAATGTGAAAAGAGTAGCTAGGCTTGTTTTGTTCAAATTTATCCAATCATGCGTATGAAGGGCTAAGTGAACTGTAAAAGGTTAAAGCCGGTTCTATTTTGAAATTTCCCTCTAAAATCTCAAATCTTTTTTGTGTAGCTCGTCATAGTTTAGTGGACACTTGCGGTTTTTAATGGGTACTTGTGATTTTCAGCCAAGGTTTGCAACTTTGCAGGTGTTCTTGTTTGAACCTCATACATCTCTGTTTCAAAACATGTAACTTTTTTATCAGGATCATTTGAATTAATCTAAACATAAAATAATTTTAAAATCGAGAACAGTCACTTGGTTTCATTTACTTTTTTACTGGAAGGGTCACAAATGTATCTTAAACATAAATCTCTTTTGCTTTAGGACCATTATTTTAAGCACAGGAGTCTCGTCACGAATGGTCCACCAATAGGAGAACGTGCTTGCCGACATTGTGGAGTCATCAAACATCTAATGAGAGACTGTCCTGAATTGAAAGGAAAGAAGGATCTAGAACAAAACGGTGCGATCAATGAAACAACAGCTCTAGATGTTGATTTAGAAGGTATCAGTGATAGCGATCTAAATGATACAGGCTCTTTTACTTTAGACGGATCAAGTCTTCTTGAAAGTAGGCTGCCCTCCTCGCCAAAGCCCTCTCCTCACTTTGTTAAAGAAGAGGGTGTAGCAGTTCATGTAGAGGAATTCATTAAGAAGCTAGCGCTAAACATGGGCGGTCAATCCCCTTCTCAGAGCATTCCACCAAGGTTAGAATCCCCTATGCAGTCCCCTAGAGTTTTTTTCTCCTCTACTCAAACTCTTGAGTCTGTCCCTGCATCATTCCAAGTCCATGCTGACAATATGAACATTAATTATTCAGTCCGGAGCCCACAAGTCTCAAGAAATCTTTTTCCCGAGCACATTCAGTACAGTCCACATGGGTCAGCTGCTAGTGTAGTTGGATCTCCTATGATGTCACCTCAGAGGCCAATACCACCCAATTTTAGTAGAAATGCCAATGTTATAGGTCAAATCTCCAATCATAATGTTTTTGATCCAAACTTTCGGCCCTTACCCAAAGAGGAGCCTAATGGTATGCCTTTGCATTATGAAGAAGTAAAAGCATGGAATAGGACACTCAGAGCTGAGCCCCTTTCCGGTACCCCTGTCAATGATTTCAAAGCATGGTTTCAACAAGCACAAGTGGACCAGAAAATGAAAGAATAAATGTTGATCTACAATTCAAAATTATGTCACAATGATTGTAACTTTAGTCCGTCAAGATAGACAGAACCCTGGCAAATTTGAACCTCTTAAATCACAAGATCAAATGGACTGCATTTTGCAATTTGGACCTATAAATTCTGGCTCATCTGAAAAAACACATATGTGCATAGGGAAACTAATGGCTCATACGTTGTTTTTAAACTGGTCTGGAATTTATAGGTCCAAATTGCTAAATGTAGTCCAATAGTGGACCTACTATTTTTATTCACCCAGTCACTGAGTCAACTCTTCTTTGCACTAAAGCTTGAACATTAGCTCCTTGCTGATGTTAAGTCAGTACCCTTAGGATCTTTGCTTTCCATTCTGACTGCGGCAAAAAGCGCTCGCTGCACTGCATCAAGGACTAGTGCCCCCATGCAATGTAGTTTGTGATATGCAATGACCCATGAAATGTGAACAAAAATAAGGCATAGGGTTGATTGCATGGGTTGTCCAGATGCTTCTTATCTTGGTCAAACCATTTGAACTTCCCAACACAAGTCACCAGCAGCTTTAGTGCATTTGAACTGAGAACAGACCCCCATGTTTGTAAAATACCTATTGCATTTCTGTTAAAGGATCAATCGTGTTCCGTTTTAAAGTTGCCAAAATGTTATTTTTCATGCACCATTGCTGAGTGAATGAATTGAAGAGAGACACTTTAGTGTTCATTTTTTAGCGGAAGGAGCAACAAATTTTTTCCCTCTCCTTTATGTTAGTATTTCTTTTAATAATTTCATTTCATTTTCAACTCATAAACCCACCCTTTATCCGTCACATTTTATCATTTTGACCAAAGCAAATGTTGAATTTTGGAGGCATGGCGGTGTTCAACAAATCATTGATCTAATCTATATTTATTTGACTAATTTTTATAATGTTTTACTGTTATCACCGATTTTAAGTGTATATGTATTTTTACGCTGATTTTAGAATCTTTTTATCATACATTTTAGAAAAAGCCAGAGATTTCATTCTCAAACTGTGAATATTTTCAATTGAAGTTTTAGAATTTTATTTCCTTTATAAGTTGTCCCTAAACTGATCCAATTTTGGATCAAACATAGATTCGTATTGAAGGATTCACAAAATCTTGTTCTGAAGTAGTATTTTGAAGAATCATTCAGTAAATTTTGATTTGAAACTGAATATTGTTTTAAATCAGTGATTTTTTATGCTGATGAATTATTTCAGTATGTTATTAATTTTCCTTTACTTTTCCTCTCTCTTATAAATTTAATCCAGTTAGCCTTCATGAAAGAGCCATCTTAACGTTGGTACACCCTTTTGAGTACACACCACTGTGGAAAATAATTTCTAAGAGGTTTCAATTAAAATTAGCACCCAAAATAGTCGATCAAATTTATGCATGAATTGATAAACATATTCACATGAAGTGGAATAATGTTGTTTTTTTAGCAATTTCAAAGAAAAACCAGTAAAAATTCCAGGTAATAAATGTGAAACCTGACCTTAATAAAATGTTTTGACCCACTTTTCATGCTTTTCAGTTGTTATGTAGGAGATCAATCTCATGACAAAATGATCTCCAACAGCAAATTTATGTTTTATTTCAGACTCTTAAAGCATGTTTATTTAATTGGCATATGCGACTTTACAGACTCAGAATATAAGTGATCATCCACTTTATCATTAAAATTATAAAATGTCTGTCATGAGAAATTATTTTTCATTCTTTTTACACCTACAATATATGTACAATTGTATAGCATCTGCAACTGCATGTTTTTCATTTTGCATGTGCCAAAAAAAGTTTCCTTGAGTCTGAGTATGCTACAGAATTGGGACTGCCCCAGTGCAATCATTGAGAAAGCAGTTGGGAAAAATTCATACTTTTTGGTCTCCATAAACTCACCTCTTTGGCATGTAAAAATAAACAATGAGTAGTTTGAGCACTTAAGGTGAACCAAAGTGATCTCAGAATGAAAACTAGTGCTACGTTTCATTGCTATCCAGCTGGAGTCTTGATAATGGAATAGTTCAGTCACAAAGCTGGACAATGAAGACACTAGAATCAATACTCATTGAGAATATTAAGTCATCAAATTTGTGAAGATTCATTGTCAATCTTTTCAGAAAATTAGGCCAACAAACATTTTTTATGGTCTTTTTTTTTTGTAAGGGAAAGAAATCTTACTGCTATCTCTCTCAAACGTAAAATGTCAGTGACTAGTGTCCGTTTCTCTAATTTTGGATAGGTATAAACAAGCAATAAATCTTTACAAATTTGAAACAATTTTACTCTGTATTTATGCTGCAACATTTCGTGGTTCGGATTTTCTGTAAAATCTAAGTTTGTGATGATTATTCTATTTTTTAGACACCTACTGGGTGTGGCTGTTTCTGTTCCTAAATCACTTAGAGTCACACTGAATATGTCATGTTTAGTTGAGTGTAATTTGTGAAAATTAATCGTCAATTTACCCAGAAAATTAGGGCAACAAACATTCTTTATGGACTTTTTTTTGTAAGAGAAAGAAATCTTACCGCTATATCTCTCTAGTGGGTCTAAAAAATTGAACATGGATGTTGCGGTTGCGCTTGAGTTGATTACAAAACTGAACCAAATCCTATGGTATAAAAAAAAATATCTCCAGGTTTTACCAGCACCTATTTGTGACAACTCTCGGCTTGCTAAAAAAACCTTTTAGTCGAAAGAATATCGACAGTGGATTATGGTTTTTTTAAATTTTTTTTTTTCGTCAATGTTTCTTCCTTGGTGAAATCAAATTCAATAAAAAAACAGGAAATTAAGATGTCACATTCTAGTGACTTCTCACTCAGTTTTCAATCCACTATTATTGATGCTATTATTGCTTTTGTAGCTTCAATATTGGCTGTTTTTCCAGATTCATGGTTGTACTTGTATATTATCAGGCGGTAATGTTGAATTTAAAATCACTGAGTAGATCAATATTACTTCTTCTCTCAAACTGATGAATAGGAAAAAAAAAAAAAAAAAAAAAAAAAAAAAAAAAAAAAAAATTAAATTGTTAAAGTATTATTATTTTTTCTATTCTCAGTCCACTTACAAAACAAAAGGGTTTTTCAGCTTTGTTAGTCTTGACAAACATTGTGCCCTTTTTTAAATGTTTTACTGCGTTTTAATTTTACTTGATCTATATGCAGTGTACCTGAAATATTTAGTTTGGATTTACTCTTCAATTTGTTTTTCTTCTTCTCCACCTCCCCCTTTGTAATTTTATTGTGTTTTGAACCGGCTCCTGTAAATAAATTGTAATTTAATAGGTTTACGTATGCTGGCAATTGTTGAATGGTTTTTAAAACAGTATGATCTTCATACTTTGATGACTTTTTGTCCATGGAATCATTTGTAAAAATATACTGTTATGGGGAAATAAAACTATTGATGGCAATTTTACAAATTCCTGTTTTCCGATTATTTTTTCATTCAAGACTTCCCAAAGTTCATGCTCAGTGAACAGGGTGTCTACCGGTCCCCAAAAGTCCCCAATTTCCCCGATTATCCCCGATTTTGGAAGGGTGTCCCTGATATCCCCGAAAGTCCCCAATTTTCTTGTTCAAGTCTCCAAAAAATGACAAAAATCGTCCTAAACACCGGCATTTTCAAATTTTCCCGCCAGCCGCGGCGGCGCGGCGCGGTATAAACAGGAACAAAACAACTGAAAAGTTACTTGGTTTGTAAAATTAATCGTAAAAAATACGCCTTTCAACGGTCTAACTTCTCCCTTTCTCTTACTATTTCGGGAAGAAAAGTCCCCGATTTTCTTGAAAAAAGTCCTCGAAAGTCCCCAATTTTGGTTTTTCATAACTGGTAGACACTCTGGTTAAGTACATTCTGTTGGTAAAATTTTCTTCACTTCATCGCCCCATTTTTATTAATTAAACTCACCATGTAGTTCACTCAAGCTAGCATTTTTCCGGGAAAATTAATCTGTATAGAAAGTTTCTTTGCGGAAACATGTAGTAATAAGCCACCAGAACAACGTTTTTTAAAATCTACCGCCATCGGCTGTCCGCTTCCGCTAAGGCCACCATCTCGAAAAAAAGAGGTGAGGAGCCAAAATACGCCGCCGTCGACCGGTTTTTCGCTTACATCTAAAAAATAACCGATCTTACGGGAAAGTGTCGTCGATCTTTTATAAAAAGCACAAAATGTCTTATGAGAAACACTATCATTTATTAATTTGGGACTTCCAGTTTATATGATATCGTGGTAGTTCTCTGCGGCTGGGAAAGTCGAATTTTGCTTGACATCGCGCTTCTCCCACGAAATATGCAATTATAGCTTGAAAAGGATGTGTCTGAGTTAAAAAATTGTTCCTACTAAAATTAAAGAGCATAAAATTTCCAATAGAGCAGTACATATTATTTCACTAAGGGCTGCTGCTACGTACGGTGAGTCTCGGCTTGGCCGCGCTTCACGCATCGCGCTTTGCCATGATTTATGTTGTTTCTTCGATTAAGCTGAGGAGATCTTGAATACCTATTTAAACGTTTTCTCAAAATATGCTTCAACTAATATAGGACTCTGTACTAGATCAACAGGAAATTAGGTTAAAAAATTACATATTGACGGTGAAACTACCAAACCACGTATTTCGTTTGCGGTGTTTAAAAATCTACGCTCGCATTTTATTTTTTTGAAGTAGACCAAATGAATATCATTCCTTGAAATTTTCACAGAATTTTCTCCGCACGAAGAGGAAAAATCACAGAAATTTTCAAGACTGGACGTTGAGTAGTTTTTCATTTAAAAAATAAAGCATGACAGGAAGTCTGCGACGTCGCAAACCGAGATACGTGGTTTGGTAGTTTCACCGTCGATATGACGCATGACGTTGCCTTGAGTTTTGTGCATTAAATGTTTTCGGTTCGAAAAACATTCAATTTTGATTTTGCGAGATAAATGATCTGGTTAATCTTAAGGTGATTCGACGGAGGTCATTTTTTGTGTCAGAGAGACGTGCGATCTATCGCATCGATTTGTTCCATAATTTCAGCTTCTTGTCATTTTTTTCGAATTTTGAGACCGCACTTCTGTTCTCATCAGGGGCGGACTGGTAGTCGAAAAGTTAGGAGGAGACCTAAATGTAAGGGCCCCTCCTGTCGTTCGGGGGCCCCTCTAAGAAGGTCCGGGGGCCCTCACCCGGTAAATTTTGAAAATTGCACACTTTTTAAACACGTAGGTATTATTGGAGTTTGATTCCACAGTACCTACTTGAACTTCAAAATAACCCAATCTCAGGATTCATCGGGGGTCCCTTCATCACAAATGCTTTTGGCGACCTTCCATGTCTCTTAGAAACACATTTTCAAGGAATTCGGGGCCTTTTAGTGATTTAAAAGGATAAGAAAATTACAACATTCCGGGGAAAAAACGATGACTCGAAAAACATTCGCCGCGGGGGCCCCTTCGGGACTTCTAAATTGTTAGGGGGCGATTGCCTCCCCGCCCCCATGGCCAGTCCGCCCCTGCGGCACAGGAAAGCCGAAAAACCAAGCGGGGACGCTACTTCAATATTAAACTTCCATCGCCTTGCTGAGGCGCAGGGATACAACTATTTGAACTCTCCGGAACGCGTGAGGTATCACGCCTCGATTGAAGGCGTTTTCGAATCTTCTTCATTTACATGACGAGACTTTCCAATTTTGTTTGAATTATACTGTCGATTTCAGATCCTTTTTTTTTACATAAATTATTTCGGCTTCTTAATTTTAAAATATTCTGGTAAAATTTTCTTTTAGCGAACCAAAACCCTGGCTTTCGCGTCCTTAAACTACGGCCTTTTCGGTCGAAACTGTAGCAGCGCCCAAGAAAACCGAAAAAAAACGCGGGGACGCTACCTCAATATTAAACCTCCATCGCCTTGCTAAGGCGCAGGGATACAACTATTTGAACTCTCCGGAACGCGTGAGGTATCACTCCTCAATTGAAGGCGTTTTCGAATCTTCTGTATTTACGTGACAAGATTTTCCAAATTTGTTTGCATTATATTGTAGATTTGAGTTCCTTTCATTATTTAGTTAAATTATTCCTGCTTCCTAATTTTTAATTATTCTGCAAAAACTATCCATTTGCGAACTACAACCCCGGCTTTCGCGCACTTCAACTACGGCCTTATCGGCCAAAATTGCAGTAGCGGCACAGAAAAGCCGAAAAACCAAGCGGGGACGCTGCACATTGGTTCCAGAGCCCGATTTAGGCGGCATTAATTCGAAAAATTGACTTTTAATAAAAATGAAAAATTGCACCACTGGTCGATACTACATACTCTGGAGAGTATCTCGGCCAAATATCATGATGATTGGATGAGTGATAAGAAAATGATAAGCTTCCAAAGGTAAGCGCGCAGGTCGTCTTTCTGCAGTTCATACCAGTTTCCTCAGTTATCACAGTGAAGTGATGTTTATATGTGAGGTTCGTCGCCATTTTCGGCACAAAAGCACAGTTTTCAAAAAGGAATCCTAAAATTGAAGGTAAGTTTAAGGTTTACCATGTTGAAATCATATCTTTAGATTAAGTCTACAGCTTTAGATAAACCCTTAGACATAACGCTATTTTACGTGATTTTCTCGTATTTTTCCACATAAATGGCTGAATTTAACTACTTTGTCACCCTCCGACACCTTTTAAACGGCCATTTCTAGTTACTACTAATCCTAGACATGATGTAGATACAAATATCTTTTGCCAGTTTTTGCCGGTTTTTTAAATACAGCCTTTTAAAGGTCGCCCGCTCGGTTCTCATGAGAACTGGATATATCACATCACGGGTTGGTGATACCGTTCTACCTTTCTTGCAATGTTATAAAACTATTTTTTTCTTTGATATTCACTTAGAGAGGAGTCTATTCACTTGGTTTTTCAAAACGATCATGGCAAATGAACGAATGAACGTATCGCCCAGGGCCATCTTTGCATCTCTCTGACGGAACTGGTCGCTTGAAATTTTTCACTCACGAAATTTTCGCTTTTTTTTCTCGGCGGTTTTTTTCTTTTTTTTCAGCAAAGACTTCATTTCTTTTTCTTATAATGATTTCTTTGTTCTTTCTTGTTGTTACAGGTTTGAGAGCCTCCAACCAGACATCACAAGTTCAAAACTCCTAATTAATTCAATAAAATAACAAAAACAGTAATAAAATCATAAAAGCTGCGACTTTTACCTACTTTTTTTGGCATACCATTGTCTGAATCTATAAAATGTGATCATTACCCGCAAGAATATTCGCCTCCTCTCGTAGCCAGTGAAATTTTTCTTTCAATGTAATTTTTTGTGACTTATTTTGATTGCTAAATGTGTTCATGGTGTTAATTATTCATCAAATTTATATGCGATTTAGTTGTTGTACATTTTAATATACATGAATTTTAAATTTGAATATATTTCTTGAATTTCGGACGAAAACTGACTCTTGCTCTTCTTGATTATTCGTAGGTACTTCAAAAAAAAAAAAAAAAAAAAAAATACAAAATACATTACAACCTCTTTAATTTAAAAAAACAACGGACCAGTGTCCGACACGTTCAATGCCTTTTCTCCCTGTCCAATAGTATTAAGGACGCTTTTTACTTTATTTTCATCCTGCCATTTCTTATACCTCAAAATTATGGAAGTAGATTCCGAAAACAGATCTTGTTAATTGCATGCAGGTATACTTCGTTCAGTTGTTCAACGTGGCAACCCCCCCTCCCTCCCTTCTCAAATAACCATCCAAAAATGAAGAATAGTAAAATCGTTGGTCGTTTTGGATGATTAATCATTAAATTAGTCAAATGTATTATAGCTCAAGCTCCAAGCCAAATTGTCAAATAATTATTCCGGTATTTGAGCGTGAATTTGCTATTTTTCGCAAATTTACCATGTTTTAGTTGACGATGGAGTAAAACTGACTTCAGATTCGTGATCAGCGACCCAAAAAACACATAAAAACATGTATTGCATGCCAACAAAGGTGATACTCTAATTAATGCCGCCTAGATCTGGCTCTGGAACCAATGTGCGCTGCCTCAATATTAAACTTCCATCGCCTTGCTAAGGCGCAGGGATACAACTATTTGAACTCTCCGGAACGTGTGAGGTATCACGCCTGAATTGAAGGCGTTTTCGAATCTTCTTTATTTATGTTACAGTCAAAACCCGAAAACCGGGCAAATCGCGATGTGCCCGGGCAATACGCGATTAGCCCGCCCAGGTAGCAATAGTAACAGTTCAAAATTGCAATTTCACAACAGTTTTTACACTGTTACTTTTGTGCACTTTTTCATCGAAAAATTTGCTCTAGTACAACAGTTGAAAAACCAATGGAAAAGAGAAGTCCTTTGCGACTATAATCACTGAAAAATTTTTCTTACATACTTAAAAAATACCAGTGGAAAATTTATAATTTAGTCATGTTTTCTGAAAATATAACACAAATTTAACTAGTGTTATACACCGATCGAAAAGGAAACTATTATTGCAATAAAAACATACTTAGATTTGAAATAAAACGACGGTTTAAAATTCTCAATCAAAATCACTTACTTAACAAAACTTTTTTAAAGAAAGGAAAGTAGATTAACATTTTAATAACTAAAAAAAGTTAAAAAAATTATTCTAATTTATTTTTTTTTAAAGTTAATTTCATAAAACACAGAAGTAGACCATTTTGTTTTAAAAAAGCTATTTTACAAAACATAAAGTATTATACTGTACTAATGAGAAAAATTTAATCTAAATCAATAAAAAGATAAAAAAAAGACAATAAAAAACAAATTTAAATATCTCATTTGTTGCCATATTTTTGCAAAACACATTCTTATAAATAACCATGAAATATTAATTATTATTACATTATTTATTAAACAATATTGGTGAGAAACTATTTTTAAATCATTGTTTCCTGAAAACCGGTGTAGCTTTAATTTTTGTCGAAAAAGAATCCTTATAAAAAACTTTGATAACTATTTATCACTAACAAGGAAAATATAATTTAAATCGATAAAAAGATACAAGTGATAGTGATAAAATGACAGTTTAAATATCTGATTTATTGCAGTTTTTCTGCAAAACATTTTATTTTAAACAGTTGTGAAATATAAATTAGTATTACATTATTTTTTTAAATACCGATTTTAATTTCCGATTGTTTTATTGTAATCGGGGTGTTTCCTTTTATTTCCGATAGAGAGCTCCGATTTATTTTGTTTTTGGATGGGTCGTTTATGGTGCCTGTCTAACCTTTGTGTGTAGTGAAAACATAAAATATATTATTTATATTCTACGACATACGTTTTTTTATCGACGGCTTCTATGTTTGCTTTGTTCGGTGCATATGAGTGGATTTTCTTCTCACATTTTTGATGACCCCCCTGTGGTTAACTGTGCCTAGACAGGGCATGGGCCTATCTATAGCGTTGATTGTAGTGTGGTGTGTCGAGTGTAGTCACATCCCTGCTGCATAGTCTTCGTTGCTCCTCCTTAGAGGAAGTATCGGTGCTCACCGTCATCGGTGTTCAAAATAGAAATATGAGGCCTGAAACTGGGGAGTTCTATAATTGATCTTTTAAAACCAAAAAATAACAGTTTAACAAAATATTAAAAACGAATAAAATTTCATATATTGACACTGTTAATTTTCAATAAAACTACAATTTTACGAGTCGTTCTATTATTAGAAATTAGTTTTTCTATGGATATTTTAAGTTTTTTTTAATACTTTACAAGAATAATTCAAAACTCGTATTCAACATTTAAATTTTTTATTTTTATTTTAAGACAAGTGTCGCTTTACACCAGTAAATTTTCCAAATGAAATTTGTTTTTCACTACTTTAATCATTGTTGATTTATGTCATTAAATTATTTTAAACTGTTATTTTTAACTTCATAAAATAGGAATATAGCGCCTGAAACTGTTGTAACTGGGGAGTACTTTAATCGATCTTTTCAACCGATATAAATTGTTTTTTTATAATATATTAATAGGAATTAAAACTCTCATTTAATAGCAATAAAACTGTTATTTCGAAGATATAATAAAAATTATTTTATAGCAGACCTTGCTACCTGGGCGGGCACATCGCGATTTGCCCAAGGCGTTTTGGGCACATCGCGAAATATTTTAAAAAACCGGGTTTTGTCCGGGCAAATTGCGATGCGCCCGGGCAGTTCGCGAAGTGCCCAATGGTGATCTGGACAAATCCAAAAAACAAGAAACCAGGAAAAAAGAGAAATGATTTCTTACCTACGGTGAAATTTGTTCCGTTGTGAATGAAAAACTGCTTAAAAAGGTCAAAATTACTTAAAAGTAGTCAATTTTTAGTCACTTTCACTTAAATTGGATTAAAAGTACTGTGTAAAATTGCCGTCAAAATTACTTACAGCTTAAATCACTTATACTCGAATAGGATTAAAATTTCTGATGCTGAAACTAAAAATGTTGAAGCAGTTTATCGTCCACAACGGAACAAACTTCACCGTAGCTATAAGAAATCATTTCTCTTTTTTCCTGGTTTTATTTTCTAGTTTCTTGTTTTTTGGATTTGCAAAAATCACCATTGGGCACTTCGCGAACTGCCCGGGCACATCGCGATTTACCCGGACAAAACCCGGTTTTTTAAAATATTTCGCGATGTGCCCTAAACGCCTTGGGCAAATTGCGATGTGCCCGGGCTAATCGCGTATTGCCCGGGCACATCGCGATTTGCCCGGTTTTCGGGTTTTGACCGTAACATTTATATGACGAGACTTTCCAAATGTGTGTGCGTTATACTGTCGATTTGAGATCCTTTTTTTTTTACATACATTATTTCTGCTTCTTAATTTTAAAATATTCTGGTAAAATTTTCTTTTTGCGAACTACAACCCTGGCTTCCGCGCCCCTAAACTTCGGCCTTATCGGTCGAAACTGCAGTAGCGGCACAGAAAAGCCAAAAAAAAAACCAAGCGGTGACGCTACCTCAATATTAAACTTCCATCGCCTTGCTACGGCGCAGGGATACAACTATTTGAACTCTCCGGAACGCGTGAGGTATCTCGCCTCAGTTGAAGGCGTTTTCGAATCTTCTGTATTTACGTGACGAGATTTTCCAAATTTGTTTGCATTTTATTGTAGATTTGAGTTCCTTTCATTATTTAGTGAAATTATTCCTGCTTCTTAATTTTTAATTATTCTGCAAAAACTATCCATTTGCGAACTACAACCCTGGCTTTCGCGCACTTAAACTACGGCCTTTTCGGTCGAAACTGCAGTAACGGCACAGAGAAGCCGAAAAACCAAGCGGGGACGCTACCTCAATAATCAACTTTCATCTCCTTGCTAAGGCGCAGAGATACAACTATTTGAACTCTCCGGAACGCGTGAGGTATCACGCCTCAATTGAAGGCGTTTTCGAATCTTCTATTTACATGCCGAGACTTTCCAAATTTGTTTATATTATACTGTCAAATTGAGATCCATTCTTTTTTTTTACATAAATTATTTTGCTTCTTAATTTTAAAATATTCTGGTAAAATTTTCTTTTTGCGAAATACAATCCGGGCTCTTGCGCACTTAAACTCCGGCCCGAAAGGTCGAAACTGCAGTAGCGGCACAGAAAAGGCAAAAAGCCAAGCGGGGACGGTACCTCAATATTAAACTTCCATCGCCTTGCTACGGCGCAGGGATACAACTATTTGAACTCTCCGAAATCGAATCTCCTGTAATTACATGACGAGATTATTCATATTTGTTTGCATTATATTGTAGATTTGAGTTCCTTTCATTATTCAGTTAAATTATTCCCGCTTCTTAATTTTTAATTATTCTGCAAAAACTATCCATTTGCGAACTACAACCCCGGCTTTCGCGCACTTCAACTACGGCCTTATTGGTCAAAATTGCAGTAGCGGCACAGAAAAGCTGAAAAACCAAGAGGGGACGCTACCTCAATAGGACGTATTTATACGAAAGGGAACTAAGCGCCAAATTTCCAAATTTCAGTTTTTAACGGATCTGGATTCTCCATGTAATAGGCTGCTCTCACACGTAAATATGCCCCCAAAATACTAATTTCATCCCCTGGAATCAGCCCCTGAAAAATCGCAAAACAGGGAATCAGCGATTACGAATAAAATCAAAAGGAACTATATGTAATTCCCTTTGATTTAATGCGCTAACCCGGATTCCGAATTAAATCAAAAGGCGCTATCTCCACTTGATTCACGCGCGCGCGGCGAAGCTTGGTGGAAACTTGGTGAAATTTGGTACCGGGGGGTATTTTTGGACGGGAAACTCGAATTTCGGGTCAAATTTTGAAAATTCAGAAATCCAAGATGGCGGACATGGCCTAAAATGCTATCTCGGCTCCTGTCCAGCCGCTCTTGGTGAAACTTGGTATCAGGGGGTATTTTCGGACGGAAAACTCGAATTTCGGGTCAAATTTTGAAAATTCAGAAATTCAAGATGGCGGATATGGCCTAAAATGTTATCTCGGCCCCTGTCCAGCTGATCTTGGTGAAACTTGGTATCAGGGGGTATTTTCGGACGGGAAACTTGAATTTCGGGTCAAATTTTAAAATTTCATAAATTCAAGATGGCGGATGTGGCCTAAAATGTTATCTCCTATTTAAACGCGCATCGCCAAAAAATCCCAGATGTCGTCCCCTGAGTGACGGTCACATATCGACCGTGCGTTCCCTCTGGCTCGATCGATGT